AAACAATTAATATATAGAAGTATTGCTTACAATTCCAAATTAATAGCGTAGGAGGAGAAACGGCTACTATAAAAGCCAAAATAGAACGATTGGAGTTAGTTAATTGTAATCTATTTTCTTTAATTGTAAAGCGCGCTGGAATTTCCTTAATATTAGCCAAATCTATAAATTCCCCCCTATTAAACGCCCCCTTATCCGATATACCTTTACTCTTATTAAATCATATATTATTATTTAATATTAAATTAACCCTATTAAATCTATTTTGTATATTATCCTCCGTATTACTTTCTTCTTATATATTAATTTTTATTTAAAAAGAGGGTAGAATTTCTTTAATCTTAATAGTCCCTCTCGGAATAACTTCTCTCCATACACTTATATTTCGAATAATAATTACCCTATATTTAACCAAGCGCTAAATTATAATCAGGAATACTTATAATATATTAAATTCTACTTCTATTCCTAACTCTTATTTAATTAAAAGTCTTTTCCTCCGAACCCCTTCGTTCCCCTTAATAAATAATTCCTCTTTACTTTCGCTATTTAACTTCTTTTCTTTTTAATATTCCTTTTAAACCCTAAACTCTTACTTAACAATAATCTTCACTACTAATACTCTCTTAACTACTAAGGAAGGAGCAGAATTCCTATCGCTCAGTAATATTCCCTATTTATATAAATATTTTAGTGTTTTAAATTTATTATTAGTACTACTTACTTCCAAAATTATTTAGACGAATATAATTATCAACCGTTAGTTATACTTCGGCTTTCCTACTTCAATTTCACTCCTAAGACCTTCAAAATTAATAAGTAGTAAAACGTCTATATACAAATCCATAAATTTAATTTTAATTCCCATCGTAAATTAGTTAGTACCTATAAATTCGAATAATTTAAATTAAACCTCCTTTAATATATTCTTATTAAATATACACTTTTTACTTAAATATTGAATAAACGCTAAATAATCGGAGAAAAGACCTTTATCTATAACCTAAAGCTTAGCGTAAGTATAAATAAAACTATTTGGAGCTTTACTATTAATCTAAGGACCTAAATTACTTTAGGCGTACTTATAATATTTTATCTACTAATCGAAATTAATAAAACGAATATTCTAAGAGGGCTTCTTTTTGACAGATTCTTTAGCACATTAATTTTGAACTTTAATAATACCTATTATTTCGTTCAAAGTACTATTTTCTATACCCGTTGGAATATACGTAGCGTAAATATAAAGAGCCTTCTTCTAGGTACGAATTTAATAAGGTATAACATTAATATTATTTTAAATCGAAGTAGTAGGATAAGTAAAACTAGCAATCGGAGTATCCAATTCAACGATATATATAATTTTAAATATATTAAAAGGCTTCGCTACTAATTATTGTCTATACTCAATATATTCATTCCATTGTAAATATTATTCCAAGTATTCTAAATGGCGAATGCCTATTTTAAAGCAGCGTTCGAAAAATATAGTAAGAGATAAGGTCATTTTAACTACTAACTTAATAGTACATTTCAAAATTTAATAAAGTATAGTAATTAATAGTCAGGGACAGTGAACGAGTATCTAAAGGTATTCTACTTAGTAGGACAATATCAGGAAGAATTAATATTAATTGGAATTAATTGATTGTAACTTTAAATACTAATAAACGGACGGATTATTATATAGTTGGACTTCGTATTTAATACTAGAGTATAGCAACTTCTAAACCTACTATCGCTATTAGTAATATTATTTTTAATTTATTAATTAAAGGATCATTTTTATTTACTTTTATATATTTATATATTTATATTAATACTTTATCTTTCTACTATCTATAATAAAAGTTAGATTTCTTTAATTTATTTTATTATAAGAATATTTTTTCGTACTACTACGAATATTTTTATATATTATAGTAATAAAATTAAATAAAGTATAACCTAAATAAAGTTGGAGGTATAAGAAGGATATTAGTATTAGAATTTTCCTTATTTTTCATTCTGTATTACTAAGGTTATACTGCCCTTATACCCCTATATACTAAGAATTAAAAATAAAAATAAAATACTTAAAGTTAATTAAGTTTTGTCTTTATATCTTCTTAGTTATTGAGGTTTAGAAAGAGGGTATAGTTAGGATAAGGATACTATTATATAGAGAAAAAAATAATAAAAAGTTTAATACTATTAGTATCCTTATAGTTTTACTGTTGGTTAAGTTATATGTAATTTATTTCTAAACAATAGTATATAAAGATATTTGTAGTAGTACGAAAAGACTTTCTCTTTATTATAAGCTACTTTATTCGTATATTAAAAAAACTTTAATTTATAAAAAAAAACTTTTAATAGTATTTTAATTATCTTTTTCTATTATTTAAAATTATAAAAGTAGAATATAAAAAATATATTAGATTTTTCGTAATTTCTTTTTCTATTTAATACTCTTACTTCAAAGAAAATTTGTTTTTAATAGCTTTGAAAAACTTCGAGGCAAAAAAAAGTTATTAAGTAAATAATTAAGAGGATTTTATATTTAAAAGTTAGGAAAAGAAGGGTTAACATAATATTTAAAGTTATAAGCTTAGTTTACATTTTGAAACATCCTTTAAAAATTAATAAGTAATTTAATACTATATTTAACTTTTTATATTAAAATTTAATTAAATTATATTTAAGGAAGTAAAAGTATATTTATATATAAATAGAATTTCTATAATATACGAGTAGAGTTTCTCTTTATTATATATAATATATAAGTTTAATTATTTTTTTTTAAATGTTATAAATTTATAAAAGTTTTATTTTGAAGAATTTTATTTATATATTATTTATAATTTTAAAACACATTTGAATATTGATATTATTTAAATAAATAGTTTAAATATACTTTAATATTATTATTTTCTTCTATAAAATGTAGAAGTATATAGTAATATACTTTCTAATATTAATAAAGTTAAATACATTTAAATGTTATTATTTTTATTATATTTTCAATATTTATACTATTATGTAAGATTTTTCTATTTTAATTTAAATATAAGTTTTTAATTTATTTATATAGATTATAATAATATATTATATTATAATAAGCGCTATATATATATATATATATACTAATAATTATATATATTAT